AACATAATGTGGCAAGAAGAACACGAGGAAGCTACACAATGTAATGAGTAGATTTTACAAGTTCTAGTTTTCTGAGGATACAATCCTTTTTCCTGATGAGTATAACTCTATTCGTTTTGAGGACTGATCCTGTTGTTCTTGTGTTTCTGTTGTTCTGTCTTCTTGGGCGTTCTCTATCCCTTTCGACATCCTTGAGAAGAAACAACGGGAGCAAGACGAATGACGAACAACAAGAACAATCTATCATTTCGACTTTACTATTGTACTATATTATTTCATTCACTAGTTTCAGCTTGTAGTCATAAAGGCTTAGGATTATGGGTGCGGATTTATTTTGTGATTTAAATGATGATTCTCCGGATTCATCTTTGGAATCTCCGGTGCATCAATAACAACAAGAACAACAAGAAGGACAAGCAAAAACCAAGAACAAAAAAACTACGAGAAAAAGAACGACACTAACAACAAGAACTACAAGAACTACAAGAACTGCAAGAACTACAAGAACTACAAGAACTACAAGAACTACAAAAGCGACAAGAACCACAAGCACGGGGACTAGAGGAAAAACAGGAACAACAAGAACAGCAGAAACAACTAAAAAGACAAAAAGCAAGGACTGCAAGAACACTGCAACAGCAACAAGAGCGGAAACAGAGCCACATTCAAGAACCACAACCACAACCGCAACCGTGACGAGGAGAAAGGCAGCGGCATCGGCGCCAGTAGCAGCGGAAAAAGAAATACAAACGGCCAAGCATCAGCAACCACACCAACGCACTTTGCCTCCCCTTTCATGATGAGCAGCAGCCCGTCAGGATAATGTGGCTCACATTGGCTGCCGCAGCCCGCACCAGTTGCGCTGCAAGGTCTTGTGCCGAACACTTTCCCAAATTGGCCCCAATATCCACCAACCCATCTATTGCAAACCTTTTCAACGCAGGCAAACGTAAGTTGTCGCTCTCCTTCTGCTCCGGCCTTGGCTTCTTGGCGCGACTCGGGACAGCCCAATACTCTGGACCCCTTTCACCTTTTTGGCTCTGCACGGATTTCAGCCAGTCCTGGTACGACGCATCAATACCCATGGCCTCGCAGCCTTCCTGGATGAGCTTCAAATATCTCAACGGGGGTGGGACACCCTGCGGTAGTTTCCACTCAGCTGGTGTTATGAAGGCTTTGGCTGCAATGTTCCTGCCATCATACGCATTCACATGCACCTCAACAGTTCCGTATTCGTACTCCATCTGCGATAATCTCAAGAAATGGTGTTTGCTCAGATAAAGCAAAATTCCGTGGACCTCGCCTGGGCCATCGCTTGCAAGCATGCTCGAGCCCACTTGCTCAATGTTCCCCATACCGCCCTTGTGGTTGAAGGTGAGCTGCCATCCTGGGAGCTTGCCACACACCTGCTCAATGGGGATAATTCCGCGTTTCTCGCGGAGCTTCCAAGGGTTGATGTTCGCACCAAAGCCAAAATACCAAAGACTTTCGCTGGAGTCAGCGCTTTCCTTCCCTTCAGGCACATTCACCCGGCGCGATTGCCAACGCGAGCTGCCTGCATACTCAGACTGCCAACCTTGCTGCCACTCTTCCTGCCACGCTTGCTGCCACGCGCTGCCACGCGAAGCTCCAGCAGCGGCCCAACGGCGCATGGCGAGGCCTCAGGTCAAACAAAAACGACTTGCGTACACAACGGCAAGCAGCTGCAAACTGTGCGCAGCCCCGGCCTCGCCGAGTTGAACCACAAAATGGGCCAGACGGCACAATGCACAAGCAAAGGAGCCAACCACCACACCTGCGCATACTCAGTCTTGAGCTAACAGCTGCTCACCATGGTGCCTCGCTCTGTTGTTTACAATGTTGAACCAAAACTTAGCATCAAACAAGGACAATCCTTTTCCTTGCGTCGTTTGGCATGGCGGCAATGCTGAAAGTTAAGAGGCTTGCAGCAGGAATTGAATGCTCGGCAAATCTGTGCAACGCTGCATACACTCTAGAAACTAGCGGCGGCGCAAGTTGTTGGTATGTAGCTGCCAACGTAACTTCCCCCTACTCTGATTCATCTTTGTACGTGCCTACGATATTGCATAGTCTGAAGCCCAAAGTCAATAATGAATTCCAACAAATCACATGATGCATCAGAATCTTGCAGGAACCGACCGGCATCAAGCCAGCCAAAGGCCGGGTAGATTGGCACGCTGTCCCGTTGTAATTCCAATAAGCCTGTGGCCCCCTTTGCTTGTTGAAGAGGCTTTACCTTGAGTATGCGACCCTTCATGGTAGAAAGGGCCCTCAAGCGCTGAGGGCCCTATGCACTTCTCAGATGGTCTTTTTGCTACAAGGCTTGGGAACAGTTGCCGGCATTTTGTCGATCGGTTCGCTGAGAGCTCCTTTTTTAAGACCTGTTTTTTCCACGTTTTGCCCGTTTTGTGGGACCAATGGTTGCCATGGCATTCATTGGTAGGAGACTGGCTCAGGTTGAAGCGAGGCTCTTTTTGTT